CAAAACACAACCAAAACATAAAATACTTAGGCTCAGTTTAATTTTACTTGAGTGATAAAGTAAGGCTTTCTTATCTTTTCAGTATGAAATAATTCATCAGGCCACGCGGGGCTTATGCAGCAGGACGTGCTGGTGGCACAGCAGGAGGAAAGCAGGGCAGGAGGGAGGCAAAGCTCTCGGCCATTTATTAGTCCTTTTGTGATAGCTCGTTTAGTCTTCATATGCTTAAAGTTATACCCCTGTGCACCTGCTCTGGGACAGGCTGCTGTGAGCGAGCTGAGCAGGTGGGGAGATGCACGGGGGCACGAAAGGAGGCAAACGTGCCCAGGAGCGAGAAAAGCAGTTGCTCAAAGGCAAGTGCTGTCTGGCCACAAAAACGCCGCTGAAGGCAGAGCCACTCTGCGCCCAGGGGCTCCCTGTGACCGAGAGCGGCGGTCAGGCTCGCGCGGGCGGCTCGCTGGCTCTTTGGGTGCCGATGCGTCAGAGGGTAAGCAGATCCCTGCAGACCCGAGCACAACCAGCGGCCCCAGGAGCGCAGCGAGGCACCGAGGCGCTGGCTTACCTATTAGCCTATTTACACACTTTGGTTTATTTCTCCAGTAGACTCCAAGAAAAAACACTGGCACTCCAGTTAAAATGATAATGAGTCCAACTCCACAGACGACCGGCTCGGAGTATAAGCTGAAGATCAGCAGAAATGCCCAAAACGCCAGGTAAGTGATGGGGACAAGGAGGTTCACCTGGCAGGAGAGAGCAGAGCAGAGCACGACTGTGCAGAGCAACCGCAGTGGCCGACCGGCAGCAGGGGGCTGTGGAGCCTGCGGGCAGCGCTGCAGCTTCAGGACCCCCTGTGGGTCGTGCCCCCCTTCCCTCCACCGCTGTCATCCCCTCTGCCCATCCCAGCAAGTTCACAAGGGGTCTGCCTGCGTACCCTGATTTTACACTAATGGCACTTTGGGACATGGTTGGGGACCTTAAAGCATTACCACTCCTTCAAAAAATAAACCGTTCTTCAAAACGGGAGGACTTGGTGTGCCTTTCCCACCCTTTGCATCGCTATTGCGACCAAGAGACTTAGCTTTAGCATTGTCACCTTGATAGGTCTGAAGATTTTGGGTTTCTTCCAGCGTAACACGATCAGGCCTATAATTGTCACTCCGTAGCAGAGGTAGTTAATAAATGACACGTAGTTGATTAGCGTGTATGTGTCTCCAACGAGCATGATGACAAGAGTGGCCAAACACTGCAAAGAGAGAAGCATGGTCATTACTAGAAAAGGTAGCTTCAAAGCAATAAAACCAAGCAAAAAACCCATAAAAGCAGTTAAACTCCTTTTGTTTATGGCCTCTGCTGGGCATCTGCTCCCTTCTGCAGTTCGATGCCTTATCCCCGAGCTGTGGCCCCAGGCCTGGGGCTGAATGGGGTTTCAGGGTTTGGAGCATGCCAAAGCCTGAGACCAGCGGGCCTGTTTACAAATACCCCGGGGTGCTGGCAGAGGTGGCTCCGCTGCCCATGGCCAGGCAGGCAGCGCTGGGAGGACTGGCTGAGCTCCCTGTGGCCCCGCTCATCCATTTCTGTTGCATGTTTTAAAAGCTATTGAACCCTATGGTGAGGACTTCTGATAAAAGAAGGATTTCTTGCAGACTAACACGTTGTGGTCAGCGCACTATGTTGTTGCAGGTGCCCTGTATATTATAAAGAATAAGAGCTTTGCCCTTTCCCCCCGCTGGCCCATGGCTCATGCTGAGATGACCGGCATCATTAATCTTCTGAGCATTACTCGTGTTTGGAAACTGGCAGATGGATGGAAATTTCCATGCCTACGCTTGCTTGTTTGTATTGTATTTCTGCGTAACTCTGTAAAGCCAGGAGAGCTGGCTCGGGGGCCAGGGGGTTGGTCCTGGGGTCCCGCACCCCTGCCCGTCGGTACCCCAGGAGCTGAGCCGAGCCCGTGCCTGCACCACGTACCGATCCTGCAAACGTTGTCTGAGGGAAACTGCATATCCAAATCCCTCCAAAGAGCACTCAAGATTTGGGGCTGTGTTACTCCAGGCTGTCTTTTTGCCATGTCCCTTCTTCTTAATTAGCTGTTTCAATAGCAAAGTCCTCTCAGGAGGGAGGGCTTCGGCACCACCGGCACCAGGAGTTATGCTCCACTGCAATCAAACGACCCTTTGGTCCCTCTGTTCCCCTGTCCAAAGCCTCGCAGGCTTGGCGGGGGCGGGGGATTTCAACACGTTGAGCAGTCTCACCACAGAATGGATTTGAAATAGGACGGTTTTGTAGCGGTGTCATGTAACACGTTCCCTGCTTTCCCCTGACAGACCCTCTCCTGCCGCTAACGGGTTTTGCAGCGGCGCCGCTCGGAGCAGTGAGATTTCGTGCGTAGGTGACGCTGATGTGTCAGATCTGCTCGTGGCGTGGGCGTGATCCCCGCGTGGTACCAGGCTGCAGAGGGGTGTGCTGCTCCCCCCAACCGGCACGGCAGGCGGGGGCTCCCCACTGTTTATTTTAAAAAAAACCCCAGTCTGTTTATTTTACATTTAGCTTGGCCCCTTGATTTTTGAAAGGATTAGTAAAAGTACAGGTCTCACTGGCGATGTTAAAAAAGCCTTTCTCCATGTACAAAGAAACCTTTCTTCATGCGAAGAGCTAGGCGTGATTCATTGGAAGGGAAAAAGGAACCTGATCTATTAATGAGGTTTTCCTGAAGTCTGACCCAGTTTGCTATTGTAGCTGCCTACACTATATTATTTTTAGATTTCTATTTGTTTTTATTAATTTCTATATTTAAGAAATTAATATTTCCTAGCAGCATTTGATATACCCTGAGCTGCATTAAAACACCTTCAAATGATGAATCGATATGCAGGCTGGTTCTGTGAGTTGCACTGTAATTCAAGGGAGGTTTGAGCAGAGCGGGGGGCTGGCGTACGCCTGATTGATGGGCCATCTCGGCTCAGGCAGCCCACTCATGTCGGGGCTGTGTCACAGCGAAACAGCCTCTGAAACTCAGCGTGTTATTTCAGCCGATGCGTTTTTAAGGACAAAAGGGTTCTGCTTTATCGGCACCAGCAGCGCTGAGCTGCCCGCGGGAGCCTGTGATGGGGCCAGCGCTGTCTGGCTGCCCGGGACAGGGCAGACCGCGGGCAGTTTACCCCGAAGCCCTGCACAGGCAATGCGCAGGATGTTTGTGGTGGGGCACTAAGCCCTGGGAATGCCATAAAGCCTCAGCTAGACGGGTATTTTGTCATAAAAGTCAAACGTGCCAGAGGCTTATTTGGTGAAATTTGGTCTGGGTGTATTGTGCCAGAATTGCTGTTAGAGCTGGGAGACACATAAACGTGCACCTTCCTCGTGCATTTGGGGTCAAACCCTCGCTGTTTTGGTATCAGTGGCAAATCTGCAGTGGGCAGCAGTTGATGCAGCCGAAGTTTCAGGCAAATGCCCTTTGGGGAATTCCCTTGCTTAGGCCACGCAGCTGGGGACGGCAGCACCAGGAATCATTTCCCTCTTCAACATCTTCTACGCCACAGTAAAACCCATCACTTATTCTAGCTTCGCTATTGGTAAAAGTGTATAAAGGTCCTTGTTTCAAATAATAACTTCTGTAAGTCATTAGTATCGTGGACATTTATGCTGTATAAAAAGTCAGAGAAATCTTTTTCCCGGGGGAGCACACTGGCAACCTGACCAGCCCCAAGCCTGCCCAACACTTGGCCCATTGGTTTCTGATCTTTGCAGATGACCTCTTGTCTGCCTGATGTACCATTCAGCAGATGCTTTATTCAGGGCCACTGGAATCATTGTCCCTACTTAATTTTTTGGCCCACAGAAAAGAAATACCCCTGGTCCTCAAAGCACTGCCCGATCATCCCTCACAAGTCGTCTTGCTCATTGAGAGTAAGTAACTTCTGGAGCACTTTGTCCTCTCCCTGGGACCCGCCACATCTCTGGCTTTGGTGGTGGGATCTAAACCAGCCCTGCTCGAGTGGGACTAGCAGTGACCATGGGGATTTCCAAATGTTTGTGGAAAGCAGGCAAAATTGGTCAAAAGAGCTCGACTTTTCTTAAATGAAGTATCTCTGTTTCAAAAGCCACTGTCTACCTCTGCTGTGGGTAGGAAAGTGGTAATGGGCTTATATTGCAGCTCGACTTAGGTATGAGGGAAACCCTGCAAGCGTCACGGGTGGCTGGCAGTGGGAGAGATTATTTCAGAGGCTTAAGGCTGCTCCTCTCTGGGGCTGTCGGCTGGCTCAGCCAAGACCCGCCAACTTCTACTACTCTGGGGTAAAATGGCCTCTCAAGGATTTTTCCAGCTCTCCCCTCCGTGATTCAGTATTTCTAAGAGCAGGCTACAGGGCGACAGAGCAGGGACGTAAAACTTACGCAGACGAGCAGGGCGGGGATGGGCGTGCACTGCTTGACGTGGATCATGGCAAGCAAACTCGGCAAATGGCCTTCTCGGGCACCGGAGAAACATAACCTGGAAATAAGAATAGTAATGCTGAATCTACTGGGTGTACAACGGCCTCTTCGGTATTTAGCCATATAATGTCTCTAATCTCAACCGCCTGCATCGGTCTTGCCATGGAGGGGAGCTGTGGCCTGCGGGTGCTGGGCTGTGACTGAGGAGACGACTAGAGACTGCCTGTGTAGCCTGGCGTAAGTTATTTAAACTAGACCCTTCAGTATACGAGGCCTTTAACGGCTAATGTCACCTGTGAAACGACCTGCTCTGAGATGCTGAATTACCTCTGAGGAGAAGGACCGAAATCTGTCCAGTCCCTGTCTGCTGGACAGCGTTGCCATCCCAGGGTGGGATGAATACTGTGAAGGTTGTGTGGTGATCAGCCATACATAGCCAAGGCATAAAAACCCTCACAGATAATGTTTCCCGTGTCAAAAGGATTTTGGATAAGATTAAGATTTCATTTTTAAGTGCATAACCTGTTACATATGCACTCAGATTTGTTGCATCTCATTATACTCACGAAAGTGCTGAGATAACTAACTTTCCCAAGGTACTTAAGACTTAAGTCGTTTCCTTGAAAAAAATTTTATAACTTTTAAATTCAGTTCAGAGAGCTCAATTAATATAAATAGACTTTATAGACTGCAATATAACAGACTTCACAGATTCTGGCCCCACTATCAGCAGTGTGCATGCAAAGCATCTTGCCTGAAAGGAGATTTTCCAGCATGGGAATGAAAATGTCTGAAACTGGGAACAGCACCAGGCCCTGAAACTCCTCTTTGAGTGAAGCACAGTTTAGCTTGTAGCTACTGGAACTTTATTGATGTAAAATGACTTTGGTTCCATGCTAAAGCCGTGTTTGGCTCTTAGCATGAGTTATTCCACATCTGCAGACACTTTCAGTAGCTCGTAAAGATTATTTTGCAAGAGATTCGCGATTCAATATTACATTTGCTGATTCGAAACAGAGCAATTCATAACGGAATGTATCCAACACGCCCAACAACGCCCTCATGCTCTACAACATCCAAAACGTCTAGCTAACATTTCTTTAGCAAATGAAATTATAACAGCCCCTCCCCAAATTAGATAACGTTCATAAAATTGTACTCCATCTAACCTTGATGAGGTAAAAAGGTATCCATTTATTCCTCCAAATGTAGATAGGGCCACTGAGACTGGCATAACCCAGGAAAAATAGCCCAGTAACTTTTCACCAAATGTCTAAAGCAACAGAAGGCAGAGAAACTGAAATACACTGCAAAGCACAGAACCGAAATCAAAGTGTATTTTAGACATCCAGGGAATGGTTTACTTACTACCGCCACAGCGTTGGAGGACAAGAGCTCTTGGGGTGACATGGCAGTGAAATATGCAATGTTGGTGAACGTATACACAAATGTCACCAATGGGATGGATATGAATATGGCACGAGGTAGGTTCCTAATAAAAGAATTAGGAGGGTAGATAAGAAATTACAGTCATGCACAGCGAGACCACAACAACCGTGTACGGCCCGGGGGAGGTCACCCAGCTGGGTGGGTGCATCGGCTGTTTCTCTGGAGGGGAGCAGCGCTTCCGTCGGCTCTTTGACCCGCTGCAGGTTGGAGAAGGCTAAAATTGCTACGAAATGCCACGGCTGCAGGGGAGCTCCCTGGGGCAAAAATACCACGTGCTCCCTTTGGGCTGTTGGTTGGGATGGAGGCAGTGTGTTGCTGAAAAACAAAATGGCTGTTTCTCAAAAGCCCTATATACAGGCACCAGCGGTGGAATAAAATGCCTTGTTTTGCTTTACCTTCACCTGCTCTGAAAAGGAACGGGGTCCTGTTGTTCAGGTGGCTGCCTTGGCCCATCCCGTGCTGTAAACCTGGTCTGGTCATACAACACCGTGGCAACCTACAGTCGTACAGATGTACTTGACCTCCGATCCAGGGACCTCCTTAGAGGTGGACGCCTTTTTTGTATCTAATGCAATAATGCATTTTTCTCTGGGCATCAGATTTGGAAAAAAGTTTTTAAAAAACATATTTAACCTTTGTGATTTTGAACAGATTTAGTAAAAATAGGAAGTGTTTTTGGTTATCCAATTTTTTTTTTATATTTTAGTTTCCCCTCAGAGGCTGCAAAAATAATAATAAAAAAAGGCCTTTCACTCCTTTTTCTCTTTATTTCTCAACTAAGGCCATATTTGTCTTATTTAAGTCATAACTTTTCATTATCCAGCTTTGAAATTGTGGTGGTCCGTTAAAATGTTGGTGTTTTATTGAGGGAACACATTACCACACTTTCTTTATTCCTGCCAAGATCTCTGGACATGCACTTTGCCACTCACTAGTATGAAGGCATGTGCAGAGCCACTTGTAAGGCTGCAGCTTTAATTCATTCCCATCCAGGCTGTGTACTAGCTTAAATTTCTCCGTGTTTAATTGCTGTGTGCATTGGATGCCCAGAAATAACTAATGCTCCGAGAGCTGCTCTTGGCATTTGTCATTCCACTTCATCAGCTCAGAAATGTTGAAACATTTGAGCTTTGCTTTACTAAACTAAAATTCACTTTCCCTCCAGCTTTTCCAGCCTGTTCGTGATAAATCATTTCCAAGCTCCTTCCAGTACCCAGGTCCAGCAGCGACCCGACACTCGTCGCCCTGGCGGGCAGGTGCCCGCAGCCACGCTACGTGCAACGACTTTCTAATCTTCTCTTTCAGGTGTCTGTGGAAGATCCGCTTTGGGTGAAAAAGCAAAGCGACTTCCAGCATAATTCAACATTTTTCTAATAGGAGTGATTCCCCCTATAGATACTTGTGTGGCATCTCATCAGTGCTTAATTTTCTGATATAGAAGCGCTGTATGATTGAATAGTGCCATAGCGGTACTGCTTTGTCTATAGGCTGGTTTGATTCAGTGAATGCCTTGTGCAACATATTTGTAATTTCAGTGTTTCTTTAACTTGCCTGCTATCTGCTGTAAATAAAAAATCTCTCTCTCCTTTAGAAAGACTGGTCCCATAGACATGGAAGGACATCGCTGCAGCTTATTAAATGAGTAACACTACCAGATGGCTCCAATGTCTCAGCACTTCAAGAAAATGTGGATGGCATGGAAATGGATACTTGCCTGCGGGGATCAACCAGTTCTTCTGTTACATAGTTCAAGAAGTTCCAGCCACTGAATGCAAACGACCCTTGAAGAAAAGCTAACGCTAAATGCCCCACGGATGGAGTCATCCAAAAATTGAATGCATTGCTTGGTGTCAGCTCTTTGTAGTTTCCTGCACAGAGAGCACAAGCAAGAAGTTAAGCCACCCCTACCTACCAGAGACACCGCAAAATAGGTCAACTTTTGCTCTTTATATTTTTTCTTTATTCCTTATTGGATTTGGGACTTCATGCTCTTCATGTCACCACAGGCTGGCATTGCACTTGCAGTGCTTTCTGCGGGACGGCGTCCTGGGGCGGCAGCTCGGGCTGTACGCACGGGCACCCCTCACTGCCCTCTGTGCCGCGGCACCGGTGTCACCGCCGCGACTCATGGGACCCTTTGCCAACCTCCACTGTCTGAGGATGGCTCCTTGGTGGGGTAAATTCCTACCTGTTCTTAATGTGGTTTTCATTTACAAAAGTTTGGTGCTGTTTAGCAGAAATACTGAGAAATAAAATGTGTCTGGGGCTGGAAGATTTGTCAAGATTGTGGAACTATTACCACTGAGAAAACAAGTTTTCTGCTCTCTGTAAATGTCATATTTCATCTTCCTTTATATGACTCATCATATACACAATAAAAACATTATGAGCCTTTTGTGTTTTCTGCTTTCCACTAAGTTGGTGAATCGGGGAGACTTTTTTTTGCCTATTTTCAATCTTATAAGTGACTTTTTGTAGGAAATTGGGCTAGTGCCCAAAATGAAGCAGGTGTTTTCCTGCCCTGGGCAAGGCATCGCTTATTCGTTTTACACCCAGAACACTTCAAATTTAAGGAACATACGACGGATTAAAAAATTTCAGTAACTGTTCCCAAACATCGTCAGCTGCCCTCCTTTATGCTATCAAACAACAAGACGGGCCGGGAAGGGACTTTTTTAAAGGGATACAGCTGATTTCTTTGTTGCGCCATCCTTTCCACGGCTGTGTGAGTATACAGCCTCGCAGCTCGGCTAAACCCAGCGCCCCTTCGGGTCGGTTTGTAAGAAGGAAACAGTGCAGTAGGTGGGAAAGATCAAGTCTATCAACAGTACCATACCCGTGTTAGAGCTGTCTCACAGAGTACCTTTAAAGATCTGTATGAAGCCCACAATAATGATAAGGGCCAGGGCTAAGAGTTTTCCTGCTGTAAATATATCCTGAATGCGCGTTGCCCATCGAACGCTGGAGCTGTTCACCCAGGTCAGGAGGACTGGAGAGCAAAAGACTGAATTCAGTGAAATGAAATTATGTTTATTTAAGAACACACAGTCAAAGCGTTGAAAAACACAGACTGACGCGCACGTTCCTGCGGGGAGCTCTGGCGTGGCTGGGAGCGAGGTGAGGAGGAGCGTTGCCTTTCCCGAGGAGGCTCCCAGCTGCAGGGGCACCCCTGGCAGCCAGCAGCCTTCCCGCCTCGGGTGCTGCCGGTCGGGGCTCCCCCAGCTCTAGTAACTGTGCCTGAGAAGTGCTCAACCTGCAGGGATCGCCGCCTCCTCATGGAAACGGTGAACGTCTTCCGTCCCCGTAGCTCTGGTTTGCTTTTGCCAGCTCCGTAAGTAATTAATGCAGAGCCAGTGGCATGCTGCGCTTCCTACACGCTCGCATTTGTGAATGTAAAAGAAGACTAGGAGGGGCTCAAACGGTGGTGGGTAACCCGTGCTGGTGGATAACCTGTGCTGGTGGGCAACCTGTGCCGGTTGCCCACCTGTGCCAGGCACCCATGGCTCTGCAGAGAGCACAGCACTGCCCCATCCCGCAAGCTCACCTGCCCCCACTTTCCCCGGGACCCACAGGAATTCGGGCACTGTTGCGCCCTGCTCCAGCCCACTGTGCTTGCTACAGGCAAACGGGAAGAGACTGAATATCCCACACCAGTCATGGTGCTTGTCCTGGGACCTCCCTGCTTGCCTTTTGGGTTGTGGCCAGGACTCCAGCCTGGCTGGAGTGGCCCCTCGGGTGGTCCCATGTAAAACCGAGGCAAGCTTTGTGTGTGCGCAAGAAGCAAATACTCACGTAAACACACCATGGAGAGGATCCTGGAGGCATTATAGGGGGGGATACAGTTAGGGAAGACGGGCTGCAGGACATAGTTTGAGAAGGTCAGCGCAATGACGGCCAGACTGGTCGGGTACATGATAAGCACCGCGCTCCACAGCAGCAGAAACCTGAAAAGACAAGAAAAAGCAGAAGAAAGCAGTGCTGGAGGTGTGCTGGAGGAGGTAATGCACGCTCGGCTGTGCAGTGCTTCAGGACGGCTCCCGAGGCATCAGGACTGAGCACCCTTGTCCTGGTCACACCTAACAGTCACCTACTTCTGCCTCTCCTCATCCTTTTTCCCATTTTCCCAGCGCAATCTGGATCTTAAATTAAACATTTTTAAGCAAAGCACAGTTTAGGGATGTATGGAAGAGTGAGGATTATGCCCAGTAGGCACGCTTTCATTTAGCTCTGTATGTCAAAGCGAAAGCATCTCTGTTGCTCCTGGGCCGACATGTTACCTCAGCAGACAGCAGTCCCTACGTTGAAGGCATCTCTGAAGGGTTTCGGCAGGGCCCCCAGCTGCGGGCCAGCTGCACTCTTGGGGCTGCTACCAGCTCCCCGCCAGTCATCGGGGGGTTTCTTGTCACAGTTCGGGTTGGCCCTGCGACCTGGGCCAGGGCAGCTCAGTGCTGCGGTATTCCGCGATTGCTCAGCTGGTTGTCTGCCTCTAGCTGCAGCTGAAGGTGATTGCACCGATCAAGGTACCCTTGCAAATATAAAGTGTGAGATAGTTTGGTTTCTCACTCTGGGAAAAGGAAGAAAAAAATACTTACAAAAGCAGCAGTGGATCTGGCTAGTGTTTTAAAATATTTGAAGTAGTATTATTTCTGTAGTGAGAAGTAGTCATTGCAGGAAAGCGAAATCCTTCTTGTCATGTACATACACACACAGATACATCATTCATTCATATACATGCACAAATGTAATGTGCAGGGATGCCCAGTACAAATGAGGATCAGAAATTATATTTTCAAATAAGATAATGTAATTTCTAGATTACGTGGGTTGCTCTTTTAAAGGCTGCTCCCTCCCAGCATGCTGCCTGCTGCCAGCCCCTTAAATCTGGCACAGCTGGGGGGTCCCTCCTAGTGCCGTTAACCTGGAGGGAGGGAGTGCTGCTTGCCGGGTGCTTCTTTGGCCGAGGTGGTGAGTGTCTCAGTCCTATCCTTTACTTTGCCTTGTTTCTGAAAAGTATGGGGTAATCTGATGGTTCCTCTTTCTTATTAACTACCAGAGAGTTAATTTGGTAAACTGGCATGATGCAAGAGCTGGTTACATTCTCAAATGGCACTGTTGTTTTTAAAGCACAGCTTTTTTTTTCCCTTTCTCTTTATTTTGTTTTGTGACTCCTTTTTTTTAATTTCTAATTTTTTTCATCATGGTTCAGAGCAGTTTCCTCCAGTAATTGCTTTGTGCTTTTCGGTGCTGTGTGTGGTGTACCCAGTTTGGGGTAGCTCTGCAGACCCCACTCGCTGGGTGAGCTAACCCAGCTGGTCCCCGCTGAAGACTAAACATGACTTAAAGTCTGCACTAATAATTTGCTGCTAGGGTTAGGATGCTGGCGGTGCTGAGCAAGGTCAAGTTCAGCCCTTGTTGCCCCTGCACAAGCCCCAGCTGTGTGTGCCCGGCAGCACCGCTGCCAGCTGGTAGGGCTCCGGCAGCGCCGTGGGGTTTGGTGGGCAGAGGCCACCAGCTCTTCCCTATCACATTTATCTTAGCCCATACAATTTACGTAGGCGAGAACTGTGTTCAGCTAAAAATGTTCAGTGGGGAGAATGACTCTGAAAATGGTATTTCAGGCAAAATTGGCCCTTGCTTCTATGCTGTAATACAGAGTGCGTTACAGTTGGTATTGGGTAGCATACGGTTTAATGGGAATGTAAATAATTCAATAGATTTCTGACAGTCAATTTGTTTCATGCTGAATTGAAATACATGCAGGACTGATAACACCAATTAAAGTAAATGCAGGATTTTAGCAGAGGGTGACAAAGCTGCACTGTCAAATGGGAACCTCAAATGAGAGATGGCATTAAAACAAGAAGGAAGCTTGCCTAAGATGTAGGCCCACTTTTATCTTGTATTTCCAGGTAAGTTTTAACCAAAGGCTGGTTTTGAGAAAAAGACATCCATGCTGGTCACTGGGATCACGTTCATGTCCCTGAACATCCAGCTGCTGGGGCCGGGGCTGCACTGCCGAGCACTTGCCTTGCTCCCAGTGCTGGTGGCTGCCAGGGGCAGGATCGGGATCCGGAGGCCCGGCCAGCCAGGGATGGCTGTTCTGGAGTTAAATTGCTTGTGGGAAGGTGGCGTTTGCTGTGGCTGGCAGGCAGGAATTAATCCCAATATGACTACCCAACACTCTGAGTCTTCTAGGAAGTCTTTGCTTTTAAAGCACCACCTTTTATCATCTGTTGTGTAGGAAGAGTTAAGAGTACAACTTCCTTAGCAAAGAACAACTGTTCCAGATCAGCTATAATTAATTTAAGTGACACAGGGCTGAAATCTCCTGCAGACATAACTGAGTTTCAGACATCCTTGCTATCACGGTGCACACAATTTGACAAGTCGAGGTGCAAGCCGAGGTGCGCTTTCTGCCCTGGGCAGTCGTGTAGTGGGAGCGTAACCGGTGCTGGAAGCCCAAAGCCCAGCTTGAAGCAGGGAGATGTCACCGTGGCACACCTGGAGTTACCTTTGCCTGGCTCTTCAAATGGAAAGAGGGGGAATTACTGCCCCGAGGGCTGAGTTGTGGCACTGAGGCTGTCAGGAGCTGAACCCTGGCTGACAGGCTTTCAGAGTTACTCAGTTATTTACAGCACTATAAGAACCTGAGAAGTTAAATCTTCTCTCGTTGCTGATTAAGAAGTGATCAGACCTTTAGAAACAGGCTCAAGACAGCTGAATGTAGAGGAAAAGGAAGATGTAGCTGCTCTTGTGATTTCCTGCCCTCCCTCCCTTCTTTTTTTTCCTGAGCATTGGAGATGGTGTGGGAAATTTGAGCTGCTGCTTGTGCTGATGGTGAAAGGGCTGGTAAAATAACCTTCCTGCCTGTATTCCGAACCAAACTGTTATGTTTGCGTAACGAGCGTCAATAGCTGCTAGCTAGATGGCTTCTGCTGTGTTTTTTGTTGCTGAGTCTGATCCAAAGTCCATTGAAGTTAATGGCTATCCTCCCATCAATGTGCATGTGCATTAGATAATATCTCTAATTAGATTTCGTCCCCCCATTTTAGAAACACGCTAGAATAAGTGACAATCTGTGCTGGGAAATGCTGCTTTTGGGAAGGTGCCGCGTTCATGTGGAAGTGCCAGGCATCCCTGGACCAAAACTGAATTTTTTGCAGGTATCTCTGCATACTAATTTCCTCACCTGTGGAAAGAAATGAATGGCATGGTTTGATCTCGGTCTAATAGTCTAGTGGACTTGGTGAAATTGGTTCTCAAACATGTATTTGGGATGTGTCTGTGCTCCCAAGAGGATCTCACGTTAGATATAAAATATCATGAAGTCAAAGCAGCCTGTGAAAATAGAAAATTAGAGGGTACCCTACTTGTGTGTCATTAACAAAAGGAAACAGTTTGAAATAGATGCTGTAGTACAGATCAACTTATCAGGGGAAAAGCTGGTTTAAGAAAGTTGGAGCTAGTTTGAATATTATTAATATTATCCTACATTGCTGAAAGAATTATTGCCTTTGGAAACTTTAGATTTTTGCACCAACAACAACTACAAAAAGGAAACATAGAAGTATATTTGAAGCATGTTTTACTTGCAGTTTGGAGTGACACTTATCACTTAGATAAGTGCTTAGAGCTCTCTGCTGATTTCAATACTACTGATGTTCAGTAAGGACGTATGTCCAGGCATCAGTCGCTGCTGGTGAAGCAGCTATGTTAGTTGCAACGCTATTGCTATTCAGAAGAAGTTGTATTTATCAAAAACACACTAGTGGGTTTTTCATGAAGCTGAATTTTTTCATTGTCTTCTGCAAGAATACATATTAAGCCTATTATTTGCTATTTTGGGCAATGTTCTTCTTATGACCTGTACAGACATGCAAGCCCACATGCATGCAAGATGAGCTGTGGTCAGATGGCTCCAGCAGCATGGGATGTGACACATTCCCTGCAGCTAGTGTGCTCATACACAAACACTATTTAAAACCAGGATGATTTCTAAATGAAGATGAAAGCGGGAAGTCTGCTCTCTGGCCAGACCAGAGCCCAGTGCAAGAGGAGCCCTCCCTCACCTCTTCCTTCTCCCTTGGCCGGAGCTGCTGGGGAGCGTCCCTTCTGCAGGGTAACCTCCAGCTGAGGTTTGCCATCGCCACCGCTTTCAGCAGCTTCACGCACTGTCCTTTAGCTGGACTTGGACTCGGAGCAGGGCTGCTGCTGTGCAGCCAGAGCTTCTGCCAGCTCAGGAGATGGCCCTGCCCTACCTCTCTCGCTTTTATTCCGTTTACCTTCTTACATCACACCTAGCAGGGTTATGATTTAATTTTTTTTTTTTAACGCAACCAACTATGAATATTGCCAGGCACAGAAGCTGGGGCATGTTGTACTCCAATGGCTGTTACAATCAAATAGTACGTCTTTGTTCCTTATACCTATGCAGGAAACCATAATAAACGGGGAGGGTGGGGACAAGACAACAGAACTGAAGAGGAAATGTTGTGGTCTGGGTGGGTATGGCATGTGCTCCTATAATAAACATCTGCATGTGAATAAACCAGACCAACCAGATTTGCCATTGGGAAAATCCTTTTGCAGATGCACTAAAGCTTTGTGTGCTGAATTCGATGTTCTTTGCTGTAGAAGGATTAAATCAGAAGAGAAAATTGAACTTTCGGAGAAGCAGTGGTTTTTTCCTCAGGGGAGGCACAGTGCAGGCTCCCGAAGGGCCCCTTTCAGCCCAGAGCCCCACGTGCGAGTGCCAGTGCGGGAATGGGCACTTCCGAAGTGGAAAACTGAAGGTGCTTGTGAGAGCTCCCCAAAGCTGCAGGCTTTAGGTGGTGGCTCAGCAAAGCACAGCAGGGCACAATCTCAGCCAGGCTTTACTGGAAAATATGACTGAGCCCCCCCTTTTTACACCAAAACCTACCTGGAGGCTTCTTGCCTAAGGCAACCCTTTGTCATACTTACGACATGGTCTATTTTCTTGGGAGAAAAGGTAAAGTCTCTTTGCAAAACAAGAACGGGAGCACTGCTTCCCTTCAGGTGATAAGGTTGTGCTTTTTTGATATTGCTTGTGCATCGCAAGTCTGGACACCAAGCAAGCTGCTGCCGCAGCAGAGAGCTCCCCGCTTTGGGAGGCGAGAGCTTCGCTCTATCCCCTGGTAAATGCTGGGCAGAGATCAGTCAACGGGTGTGTGGTTTGTTACAGCAATTGCATAGCCTGGTCCTTTCCATTACCGTGCAAATTCTCTGAACATGGCACAGAGAGTGAGCTGAGGAACAACTAAAGCCAGGTTTAGTTGTACTTGATTTCAAATTACTTTCTTTTTCTCCCTTAGAAAGCATAATTCTTCTGGTTTTGTGAAACTCCCATAGTTTCTGGCCTCCCCCACAGCAACATTCCCAGGACGGCAGTTGTGACCCCTTGTGCAGTTTTGTGCTCTGCCATGTGCGTGGTCCTTCTTTGCAGGCCCCGTTCCTGGGAGCAGGCGATGGGGGAAGCTGCTGACGGCCTGCCGCAGCCTCCCAGGGGAGCGGGGGCTTTGCCGTGCAGCTCCTGCCCCGTGAGAGAACAAACCTCAGTGAAGACTAGTTGAGATTTTGGCTAAGCAAGCCAATATTGTTGTTACCTCAATCCGTGCTGCGATGCCAGTGTAGTTTTCTATGCAAAGTGGGACAACATTCAGAGAAGCGATTCCTTCGACCAAAGATACACAGACCTTCATGAGAACTAGTATAAGTCAATGGCTTAAGTCTGACAAGCATCAGAAAACTACCTTGTCACCTAGCATGTTTTCAGCTGCTGGCTGTGCCCGGTGGCACTGAGCCGAGGCAGGCACCAGCAAGGGGACAGCCCATGGGACAGGGTGACAGCCTGCCGGCGTTACGCATGTGCTGATTTACTCTAGCCTGTGCTGATCTACTCAGCAGCCAGCTCAACTGTTACGAGCTTGTTTTCCATCTCAAATGAGAAGGAATATTCTTTTTTTCCTCCTCCTTTCTCTACCTTTTGCTTATGGTCCTTCTTTTTCACAAATAAAACGCCAACATGTGGCATGGCCTCTTTACTCGCAAATGAGCAAGCTGGCCAGAAAGTGCTTCTCTAGTAAGCTGTGACTATCAGTTTCATTTTTCTTGTTGAAGACACAGTAAAATATACAGTCAAGTATAAATGATGACCTCTTCTCACTTGTCCCTTCCTCCCTTAGTCACACTACTCCGTTTGTGGTATTTTCAAAGAGAAATCATTCCCTGAGTTAGCATTTCCCCCTCTTTGAATTTACAACACTTATTTTGTACAGTTGCAGTAAGGGAGGCAGCGCGGCAGGCGGGCACCTGCGCCTGGGACGCTTCTGTGGGCAAATCTCCTTCTCCAGCAATTTTCTGGATTCTACTGTAGGAAGGTCTCGCACTGTAATGCCATAGAAATACTTGCTGCCTTCTGCACTGGTAGTTAAAGGAGGGCTTTGGTTTATGGTAAGTAGCTCCGGCCTGGCTTCCCTGCTGCATGAAGCTTCTCAATACAAGGTACTGATCATTTATGGCTGGCACGCAGGAATGTGAGTTGGACAGAGCGTCATTTACAGCGCCGTTCTTTCCTTTCACAGACTTCATTGAGTCGGAGAGGGAAGTTAAAGCATCCGTAGCTCTGTGTAGGGGCGATTTGATATTTCTAATGAGAGCAGAAAGAATGACTTTGCGAAAGCATTTTATTGATAAATGTTCCCTGTCTCTTCCAAGTTAGACATCTTTTCCGCACTTAATATACTTAGTATAAACGTATTTTCAAATTACTTTATAGACATAGGGTACTTACCCAGCTAACCCACCAAAAATCTCTGTGACGTAGGAATAATCCCCTCCTGATTTAGGGATAGTGACTCCCAGTTCGGCGTAACATAGCGAGCCAAGGGCAGCCACCCCGCCACCAAGCACCCAAATAATGAGAGCGAGTCCCACCGAGCCAGTGTGCTCCAAAACTCCTTTTGGTGAAATAAAGATCCCAGAACCAATGATATTACCTGGAAAGGACAAAAGGTTTGCAGTGAGGTAAAAGAAAGCACGAAATGCACTTTTACTTTCTTTTTTTATTAAAAAAAAAAAAAGGCAAACAAACCCACAGCCCCCATTCAACCAAACAAGAACCCCCCACCAAACCCTGTCTTCCAGATTTTGCTTGATTGTATTTTATCTGATTATGCCCTGGGGAAAGCGTTGCCGTTTATCAGCAATCAAGGGCGGTAAGCGTGTGCTCAGCTCTTGGTAAGACTCGGGTGAGCATCTGTCTTTGCAACTAGTGATTTTGTGGCACGAACTCAGACAGCTGCTGTCACCTGCCATGCCCAAGTATTTTATCGAAAGGAGTTAGAAGCATCTTTGTAATGAAGATTTTCATCTCCTCCTGAGAGGAATCTAAACAAGATAAGGCCCATCTTCAGGGGGGTTGGGAAGTCAAAAAACCCTCCGTAGCATTATCTATAATGTAGGAGCCAAGAGGTGCCCAAGCCACCAGGGCAGGTTTAAGGTTGTGCTTGAAAAGTCATCTCAAAGTCTTGAATATTAGAAATTAATTAACATTTTATATTTGCAATACCTGTGCTGCTTAGTCATTGCCCATAGATTTTAAAGGGATATTGTGGGGTGACTGAAATATTGGACAACGTGGACTTCGTCCTACTAATTTTGTTTAATTAGCGTGTAAGCCGAGGTAGTGCTGGTTGTAGAAGGGGAGTGCTGGGTATCACAGATGCTCTTTGTTCACGTGGGGCCAGGGCATGGTTGTCATCCCAGACCAGCGGGAACTGCTCTGCAAGATGTGCTTCATAGCTGCTCGGGGTCTGGAAGGAGAGATTTTTTTTTTTGTCGGCCTTCGGACTTTTTGAGTGATACCTGAATAGCACTCCTTTCCCAAAAGGATGTGAAGACCCTGCTGTTGTAGGACTCTGCTGAGGGCTTTCTTCTTTTATGAGTTAGTATTAAAATCGTCACTGACAGAGTTGAGTCTCGGCCTATGCTGTTGAACAGCATTTCTTATCAGTGCAGACACGAAAATAAAATACTAGATACTGGTCGTTAATGAGGTATTATCATCTAACCCAGCTTCTCGGCAGCCTTTGAACCTGCACATCATCAAATCTAAGCTCCTGTCTGCTTTATAAATGCTTTTCAGCTTGTAATGTATAGCAAGTTCCCTAAATACGTCTAGTTATGTGAAATTTTGCTGCATTTGGTTTCAATTCTGTCCTCGCGTTTCTTAAAGCAGCTTCTGGACGCGCAGCTCATCCAGCCGGTCTGCCCTGGTTGTGCTCGTACGTAGCTGTGTGTTTGCAGCACGCGTGTTGAAGCAGATACTCTATTTGTGCTTTGAAATGAAATTAAGGTAGAAAATAGACAACTCCAGCAACTGATGAGCAGGTGCCCATTTCCCAGCAAGAGCAGGAGGGTGGAAGGCCGTGGGGGCAGCCCTGCCGCTGCCAAACTCCTGCTGGATTGCCCAGGGGCTTTCGGGCTTCTCGGAGCAATGGGCTGCTCGTGGCATGAGGGTCTCGCCACAGGTGAAGCTATTCCCTGAGTATTAAAATGTTAGTAAGGCACTGCAATGGCAAACCAGAGAATCTGGCAACACAGTAATACCTAATGCAATAAAGATACGTTCTTGGGATGGGGTGGTGGGACTTGTGCTGTGCCTTTTCTGTTCGCTGGCATGTCAGCTTGTGAAAGGGCAGCACTGCGTATGAGGGCTGTGTCGGTGTAAAAGCTGGCTTTTCAATGTACAGCTGAACCACGTTACGAAGGCATAAAATGGGTGGCAGCAGGGAGATTAGCAAGGGAAAGGGAACGGCCCACCCTGCCCACCCACACTCTTCCCTCCTTCCTCCCCGGAGCCAGTGGCTGGGTTGGGCTCAGTGGCTCCCAGTCCAGAGACTGGAAAATACTCTGAGGGACTGGGGCTTACTCTGGAGAGGAGCTGAACAAGAGAAGATAAGTCTGCAAATGTACAGACAATATTTGTAAGGAATACATTTTTGTGTGCATGGGCTGCTTTCTTTAATGTCCATGATGCACAGATAAGATTAAGCCAGAAATAACTGGCTTAAATGGTGATGGAGGAGATTGAGGATAAAGCTTAGAAAAATCTTGGCAGTGTTGAGATCTTTAGCCATGGAGGGAATCCCTGGGGAAGACTGAGGCATCTCCCACCTGAGACCTCCTGCTGCAGGTGGGACAGACATCCTCCGGGACCAGAAGCACTGTCTATGTGTTTAAAAAAAAAAAAAAAAAAAAAATCGGATCAGGGATGTAGCTGTTACCAAAACTAGATCATACTAGAATAACAATAAAATTAAATATAGCTATCCCTTAGCTGAACTAGCACAGGGAGCCCTAACCACTGCCACAGCATTAATCACGGCAGCTTGCACCAAAGAAATGGGTTTTAATGTGGATGAGTCGCACAATACTATTCATAGCGCTAACAGATTTGTTCTGGGTCTTCCCTACTGGGAACCTACACAGCTGGAGTGGTGAAATCTTTCAAGAAGATAGATGAGGAGTTAATGTATTACTAACGCATACATAATACTTGATAAAATTTATGAGGCTTTTTGGTCATAGTTTCTTCTGCTGACTGAAGCATTGCAACATATTGAAAACAAACAAGCTTTTCTGGAAGACTGGTTGTGCCCTGTTCAGGAACTGTAACAAATCTTGAATTTAGGCTGAAAAATAAATACCTGCCTTAGGACAATGTCTCTGGCACTGCTGTGTGCTGCAGTTGTAACGGTTATACTTGTGCGTATGGAGGAAGGCCTTAAGTTATAAAGGACCCTTAAAAATGATCCTCTACCTGCCAGCATAGATACCTGTGTGTATCTGTTTTTCACAGATCAATGCACCTGAAAATACTGCAATTTTGGGAGAAGCCAGTGGTATTTTGGGGAGCATACTGAATTTAGGACATACCGCTTTTCACCACAATAGATCGGTAGGTTTTAATTGCCTCTTTGGGGTGGCACAGTACTCGTTCCTATTCTGGCAACCTCAGCACTGAACAAACAGGAATCGCCCAAAGACAGAATAACCCATAAATGAGTCCCCTGGCTCCTCTCACGCCGTCTCCTCCTGCTCAGTGCTCTCCTTTACCTTACCTCAGGTTTGCTGCTATTTTTGGCAGCAAACAGCAGATGCAAATACCCATCCTTCAGCAAGCTCTCGGCAAGAGCTTCCACCTCCACGCTCTGTCATCTTTTCATTGTGTCAGTACGTGGAGAAAGGATAAAATCCAAACGCAGCGCGGCATCCCCCAAACTGCTAACGGAAAAGAAATCTAGCAAATCTTCAAGCTGATGTGCAACATTACAGTGTGGTGCCTGCGCAGACCTGTGCTGCGGGGGGCTGATGGGGTGACCCCCGAGGGCTGCTATGGCTTACGCACTGGCGAGGGGGTGAGAGCTGACTGCGTGCCTGGCTTTCTGTACCTGCTCAGCTGCTTCGGTGTGATGGGCAGACCTGCTGGCAGGCTGGGAAGGGTGGGGAAATGGGGAGATAAGTGTTGGCAGCGCTGTGGGAAGCAGTGTGATCAGGCCATGCTGTGATGGACCCGGGGAAAAGAGAGACGAGTCCCGGTGAGGTGTAACCGCAGAGATAAGGTGGCGGCAGTCATCTGGCGTGGCAGTGAGGAAGTGCAGTCTCGATGCATAGACAGAAAGTCTATGGTGTGTTTTTTAAATGCTTGCATTTGGCTTTGTCACAGCCCTGAATCTCTCTGTGCGTCGGGTTTCTGCTGCTAGGAAAGGGCATCGCTCGCCCCTGGGCGCTGGGCCACGAGGGGCATCGGCAGCGGGGCCGTCACTCAAACCCAAATCGCTGTGGGGAGGAGGCATCCATGGCACAGCGTGGCTTAGTGATGCCCTCCTGTTATGGCAAGACTGCCAAAGCAGTCCTCCTAATGTGCAAGTCTGGAAATAGCTAGTACTTTTTTTTTTATTTAAGGATAATGCTTTCTGGGTGCAGCTACCTGAAGGGGCAGGACAAGAAGGAACAGGCAGCCTTCTGGATGGTCCTTTCATACAAATTTTCACAGGATTTTTTTTGTTAAATTAAGTAGTTAATCATATTTTAAAAAAATCTAATGTCCTTCATGAATGAATATATGATAAGGCAAAATTCTCTTCCAACCTCATGATGGACTTCCTATTATTTTGCTTTTGCAACATGTGCAAAAGCTGTATCAGCAGGAGTGGAAGTGCTACGCCCCTTCTGACAACAAAATGTTCTTATGGAAACCTGCCATGAATGTGGTAAATGTGCCTGGGAAGTACCGTCACTTCACTCGGCGTAGGACATGTTTAAAAATAGATGTGGTGGAGATGCTGAAACACTCCAAGAAAATGAAATGTCAGAAACTGCCTGATGAGAAGCAGAGTTTTCAGGAGGTCTCATGTTCCTTAGCAGAAGTTCTTAGGCCAGAAGACTTAGCAGTAGGGCAGATGC